TAAGGGGCCTTTATGGTAAACCAAAAGCTGAAATAAAAGGGCTGGGCGAGGGCCTTGGCCACCAGGGGGGGGTCCCTTCCCCCTTGAATTGGGACTTGCCCTTCCCGGGCCCCCCCAAATTTTTCCAAAAATAATCTCTTGTTCTTTTCTCTTTTCATTTGTGGGCGGCTCCTCTTTCCAGGTCCCTGAACCCTAAACCACGCCGGACGTGGGGGGAAACAAACATACAACAGTGAAGTATTTCTCCAAAGTTTCTATTTTTGTAGGGCTTTTATTTTTCCCCATTTTTATCCAGACATTATCCATCATTAATATAATAATTTCTGTTAAGAAGAGAGGAACAAAACATCAACTTGGCTTCTGATTTCATTATCTGAATAGTCTAGAATTTCAATTTTTCCTTTTGTTTAATATTTATCTCTTTTTTCCATTTCTCACTTTTATAAATAGCGATGAGGTGACTATGCAGTGCATAGACCTTTGCTATCTCTGTGTCAAGTTCAAACAGTCAAATTACAGGCTCAAAGCAAATGTATGCTTTAAGACCTCAAAGAAGCATTGAATAGATTTATCCTTGGAAGAAGAAGTTGAGTATCATATAACTTTAGAAAAATAGGTTAAAAGCTTTAGATCAGTCCATTTCATTTTTAATAAATAAGTAAAGTAAGGTCTAGATACTTCTCTACTTTCCTTAATATTAGAGAAAGCACTAAATCTCATGTTACCCACATATTTCCTGCCCCTATCTCTGCCTCCACCCCCAGCCCTCAGTTAGAATACAGTTTCTTCCTCTGTCAAAAGGAAAGCCTCACTGCATTTGTAGTTAATCTCAATGAATTATGAATATTCCTTAAGTGCGTCTTACCTGTTCTGTTTTTAAAACATGTTCCAAGAAAAAAAATTTGTTTCAAGCTTTGTAGTAAAAGGTAATGTCTTTTTCCTTGTGTCAATTATCATGGCAAACTTTTCTAAATTTATTCCTTATAATTCTTTTTGTTTTTAATTCTGTGTGAGATGGTTCTGTCAACCTATTGCACAGCACCCAATCTTTCTTGAAAGTCAACGCAGGTGTTTTCATTAATAAGAATATTTAACTGTTGCTTTTCGCTGAGCAGTACTGTGATTATTTATGAATGGGTTAATAATTTATTCATTGACAGGTACTGGCTTAACATGCATCGTATGGTTGTCACTACGCTAGATATTCAGGACACAGTGAGCATGCTCTTCACTGACTAATCTGGTGCTGGATCTCAATCAAGCAAAGCACTCGGTCTCCTGTTCCAGCTCTGCACTATTTAAAATAGCTTCATATAAATACTTGCCCTACCTTCCTGCCAGAATTCAAGTAATTAAAATTCAGATCCTAACCTAATGGGTACACTCTAAAGAAAGAACTGCCACTTTCAAATACATTGAGTGGCCAGATTATTATGACCACCTGACTTTTGTAGGCAAATTAGTCATACACTGCATCATATGGGATATGGAAGCCGAAGGCCTGTTCGAACACCTTTGCTGTCTGCAGTGACCACGATAAAACGTCTCAAATTCGCACAGGAACACAAGGATTGGACAGTCGAGCATTGGGAAAAAGTCATGTGGTCTGATGAATCATGTTTCCAGCTGCATCATGCAGATAGCAGAGTGAGAATTTGGTGGAAACAGCATGAGTATAATCCTTCAAGCTGGTGGGGGCAGTGTTATGGTTTGGGGCATGTTTTCCTGGCATGATTTGGGCCCTTTAATTCATGTGGAACAATGTCTGAATAGCACAACATACCTAAGTATCATTGCTGATCAAGTTCATCCTGTCATGTTGATGGCATATCCCAATGGAGATGACTTCTTCCAACAAGACAATGCGCCATGCTACAGTGCTCATATTGTGCAGGAGTGATTTCAAGAACATGAGGGAGACTTTATCTTGCTTAGGTGTCCCCCACAATCACCAGATCTCAATCTAATTGAGCATTTGTGGGACGAAGTTAAAAGAGCCATCAGGCAGCTGGTTCCACAACCATCAAATCTCACAGAACTGGACAGTGCTATTCATCAGGCATGGTGTCAAAGTCCTCGCATCACTTTTCAACATTTTGTGAAGTCAATGCCAAGAAGAATTGCTGCAGTATTGAAGGCAAAAGGTGGCCCAATGAAGTGCTGATGGGGTGGTCATAATAATCTGGCCACTCAGTATATATCTTCCTTTGTTTCGGTGGCTGCTTTGTGTGTGTGTGTTGGGGTGGGGAGGATGGATATTTAATTACCTTAATTCTTAGTAGCCTCCCACTTTTTCTTCTCTTTCTCTTAGTACTACTTTTTCTTGATTTTCTATTGTTCATTAATATCCTGCTTTTAACTTCTCAGGACTCTTTCCAACCCAGAAAAATAGGAAGTAAAAAGGAAAGAACGACATTTTGGTGAGCATGAACTCACCTGTGGTTTTCTGGAAATTTGTAGTGGGTTACACGCAATTAAAACACTGTTCTCATGGGCACAATGTGATTAACAACTTTATATATGCAGAAGAAAATATACCTGTATTTGTATTTTCACAGGGTACTCTCAAGTCTGGAGATCCCTATGGTTTTTCCACAAATTAAAAACAACAACCAGCTTATGTTTAACACCTATACTTTTCTCTTGAGACCATTTCTTCACCTTGGTGTTTTACTGGAGGAAGTTAGAAAAAGGGAGATATGATGCATGCAGAAGTAACAGTTCTGTTTTTGACACTATTTTTTTTGCTTGGTTTTTACAAAGGTAGTTCGCTCAACTAAGTCCCTGCGTGGCCAGATCACCCAACAACAGCAGCTCCTGCGAACGTCAGTGGAGAGCACAGCACACAGAGTGACTGGATTGTGCTTTATTTGTTCAGTAATGTCTGAGGGAAGTGACTTACGCTACCCTCAAATTTCCAAATCCTTCTCAGTCCACGAAACTTCA